GTGAGGGGGAGGGGGGTGGAAATCAGAGCTAAAGCCTTTTAAAAACCCTCCCCTGACAGCAAACAGTAATGAGCAGCATTTGAGCAGAGCGAGAACACTCCTGAGCGCATCGCTTCTGACAGATGAGCCCAGCAAGTCAACCATAGCCCCACCGCTGCTATTCAGCGAAAGCTGATCAGATAGCAGCAGACAAATAACGCCAAGCAAACACTCCAAGACGCACTCTCTCCACGTTTAAGAGTTTATAATTAACCTAAGGAAGAAAAAGAGTCACTAATTGGGGTGTTCTGCGTGGCAGCGGCCGCTGGAACCTAGCGCGTGCTGGGTGCCTGCACTCCCTGCAGAAGGGGGGACAGGGAAAGCACATCGGTTCCAATTTACCCCTCGCTCTCCCCAAGTCACAAACTTGCCATCCCAGATGTGCAAGCCCCAAGTGTACTTTTAACAGGCTTTTCCTCATCAGCTATCACATCCCCTAGCTGCACTCTCGGCCTTGCAATTCCTATTTTGTTTTCTTTTCCAAGTGGCTGAGCTTCTGTCTGCTTCAGGTCTTATACCCCACGCCCTCCACTTGAAGCATTTTCACCAGGAAAACACACACACACACACTCACACTCACACAGAGGAGATTTTGCTGCATTGCCATTCTGACAGAGTGTCAACACAGCTGCTGTCTCTGCTGGAATGTAAACCAATATTGTCGTTAGATCTCCCTCAACCCCAGGTAACTTCCTCAAAGATTTGCACAGCGTGTGGCAATTCTCTGCACTTCCACCTTTACAAAGCATCGACCCAGTTGGGTAAAAGTAATTAAATAAATAAATAAAACCAAAGCTCCATTTGAAGTTTGCATTCTACTCACACCTATGTGGTGCAAAAGGCTGTAGAAAGCAAAATGCATCCATTGTACGCGCATTCATTCTCATATAATATGTTTAAACACCTTGTATAAAATATCTCGCTGCTGCTGCAAGTCATGAAGCAAGGTATTAACAGCACTGAGTAAAAGAGTTATTGGTGTGGATGCTAATGCAACATTTGCAGCAGAGAACCTTTGTTTGCATATTATTTTACTCAAAAAAGTAACCTAAGACAGGGTTTATAATGCATTTTTTTGTTATTTCCTAGATACCATTCACTTCTAACAAAAAGCAGCAATTTTGGAAATAAAAGACTAGTAAATGAGTTGTAACACAGATAGTGTTCAGACTGCTACAGCAATCCGTATGCATTGCCCACAGTAAGCGACTGCTTTGCCTTGCTTCTCCAATGAAAGAAAATTCTGTTTGGTTGATCAAGGTTCCCAAAACAAATTCACTGTCCCAAATGTAAAGATTCGAAGTTCACTCTCACTCCAGTATCTAGCCCAGCAAACTCTGCTTCCCGTTGTAAAGTGCAAAAGTTTCAAAAAACTAATGTATATTCCACACCTGACTTCAGGGGTGAAGAAACTGCACACGTTCACTAAAAATAAAAATATATTAAAGATATGATAGCTCAAACCTAGAATCCTTACCTCGCTATACTGGGACTGGGCATTGTTTTCCAGGTACAACATGTTAGCAGTCAAATTGATCAATGCTGCTGTTCTTTCTTCTGGCTCCAGGATTTTGACAAACAACTCCCACCCCCTAGAAGACCCCAAAAATATGTGATGCTACTTGGAAGATAACAGGACTCGGAGTGTGCCTCTCTGCATAATTGAAGTTTCCCTTATATACCTAACGATAGGTAAGGAGGAGGAGGTGGGGCTCTCCTGCCTTACCTGTCCAATCTGTCAAAGTGCCACCTGGAGTCCTCCACTCCAATGGAGAGAGGCCTCTCCCAGCTCATTAAGTAGTTAGAATTCCTTATCACCAATCTCTAAAAAGCAAAGGGAAGGGAAGGGGGGGAAACGACCAACAAAAAAAAAAAGAGAAAAGAAAAATGGAAACTATAACTTTCCTACATCGTTCCTCTGTCACTTTTCTACAAATTTGGGAACTCAAAACTCAGGCTTGGAGTTGCTCCAAAGAAGCTACTCCAAGAAACTTCTGCTTATTTATTTTCTGAGAAGACTCCAGGGTTTTCTTCAGACACAGGCTTTGCTGATACCAAAGCCCAAAATGTTCGGTAAGGGATTGAGATGCAGCGCTCGAGAGCGGCAGTGCAGTTACAACAGCCTGAGCCTCTGGCTGCAACATGCAGGTTTTGGACAAAAAAAACCCAAAACCCCCAAAACACCAAATAAACAAAAGTGATTGCTTCTCATGCACCATAACCCAGCTACACGCTCCGTCATCTGTGTGCTTTCATCCACGCTCACAGCCAGCAGGTCCTGTGCTCACAGGACATCGCTCCAGATACATTTTTTTCCTCTCCTTTGCTATTGCTTCTAACTCATGCCATGGTAAGAAGCCTTAAAATAAACTCTCTTAAACCAGGAAATGTTAAAAAAGTAAAAAAAAAAAGGCAACTCATCCCAAGGGACTCATGATTTTGAGTTAATATGCCGGAGCAGCTGCTGGGTGCTGCCCAGTAAGAGCCACCCGGCCCCGTACCCGCGGCAAACTCCAGGTGTTGCAGAGACGGACAGGAAAGCACGGCTCAGCCCAGCCTCGATCGGCGGGAGAACAGAACAGACCAGACAGAGCGGAGCGGCCCGGCTGGGATTTCACCCCGAACGAGCAGACAAACCCCCGGGCCCGCCCCGCTGTCTCGAGCGGGGACACCCAGAGCCAGCGCGGGGT